AGAAATCCTTATCCAGGATGATAACACAGTTGAATTTGTCCTGCGGAGTGAGAATGCTAAGCAGAAAATGAAAAATATTTCGAGTACGGTAAGAATCCATTTAATCTTTCATATCAAATAAAAAGTATTGTTCTTAACGAAATTCAAATTTTTTTGGTAATTTATTTGATGTCCAGTGCGGCAAATTTTTGCTTGGTTAGGTGAGTAATGGTTCATTCTGGTTCGCGTATAATGGAGATGTGTATCGAGCCGAGCCACACTCCTGGAACAGTCGCCAAATCACGGAGAAAAAATCTTCAGGCGGAATGCTCTTTTTATGGGGTAAAATTTTTGACTTTAATTCATTTCTGCTAATTAGTTATGGGCGATCATGAATAACTCTCGAATTACTGAGGTCGCTGTGTGAAAGACCAAATAATTAAGGGAGCTTTTTTGTTTTCGGTTTTACACTGCATACTTATACAAATTAGAGCGCGTTAAGGTACGATTATAGATCTATGCGCTTATGCGTATGTCCACCTGTATTCATAATTCATTTCCAGAACTAAGACAGCTAAAATTCTGGGATTAGCTCGTCATCTTTTGTTAGGGTATAAACCTGAAACCAATTCACTTCATTTTCCTCATCTATTCGAATTGTGTCTGTAGATTCAAATTCAGAAAGTCGTAGGATGAAAAATTTTTCTGTCCTAATTCTTCATAGCTCGAGCCAAATAAATTGAAGTTGGATCCTAGGTTTTATTGTTCTGAGATGTATGCCGTCAGATCTGAGTTCAGGTTAATTTTGTAACTGGAGGTTCGGAAAATAGAGTAAGAATTTCGGACATTTTATAAAGTTTGAAGAAAATATTCTGAAATCAGCTGCCAAGAATTACATTTGTCCACCTATAATCCCATCCAATCTTCGGAAGGGAAAAAGCTACACTGTTGGGTGATCTAAGCAATCGCGCCTCATCTCAGCGATTGCTGTGCGGTAAGCATTTCATCACACAAGTTTCTTCCGTGCATCTTGAATGCCCTAACATGAAAACACGTGGTTACCTGTGTCATCCGGTGTTCGCTGCACTTCCATGATATGCAGCTAAATGATAACGCCTGTTTATTAACAGTGCTGTAGAATTCGAAAATTAGTAACCCCTAAAAACAAATGTTTTCAAATGTTGCAGTGTTAATTGGTTTCTCGATTATATTCGGAATTATTATTGTGACATCGTTGATTTATGCTTGCGTAAGTGTTTTTTTTTTACACCTGAAACTTTGTAAGCATTTGACCAAACATGTTTTCATGGAAAACTGATAGTTTTCACATCTATTTATGACATCTTAGCGACGCCTCATTACTGAAGTTTAAAGGACGTCTTCGCATCCCTAATGAGGGAATTGATCGTCCTAAACTTTTATCTGTTCGGATCATTAGCTGAAGATAAAAGTTCGTGTCACAGCACTCCGATTTCACTCGAGCGTTCCTCTCGTAAAATATAAATACAGAGAGAGTCCTGACTTCAAATTAAGTACTTTTCTGACGCTGTGTAGCCTGTGTAGTGTGGCACTTTGATTTCTCCCATTATTAACCGGATGTTGCTCCTTTCACTTTCTATGTCCCTAGTTCACTGCGGTAACTACATTAATTCAATTATTTCTACCACTAGCTGGCACGGCGCCCTGGGAATAGCGTTTTTTCTTGCAGTGGGTCAAAGGTTGGATTTCGTCTTTGGAACAGTCAGTCAGTCTACGATTCGTCCATTCGTAAATTAGTATGCCATTCGTAAGGGCGCCAAAATCGCCATCAGCTTATTTGTGTGCAACCTTCAGAAGAGAAGGACCATCAGCAGGCTTGTTAATGGGAGGTTGCTGTTGGCAACTAATAACTCTAATAGCTCTAATAAGCTCTAATAACTCCGGGTGTCCCCGATCGAATAGGGAGAGGATTTTGGTTTTTACTTTCAGTTGTTTCTAGCGCTGACTCGCTTTATACCTGCTGTATTTAGTGCAACAAAATATTTCAGTGTTTTTTGTATAGAAGAAGCAAGGAGAATGGTCCTTCATTACAAGGCGTCTCGCCCTCCCAGTATATATCACGCCCAAGTTATGCTATGCCAACATCGCTGGCAAGTAGTCCAAACAGCGGCAGTTCCGTGGAACATTTCGAACGACGGGTAAAACGGCTTCGCGCATATATCTTTTAAATGTATTTCACTCATGCCACATCATCTCTGTGTATAGAAAATCCAGGATCACAGAGCAACGATGCTTTTATCTCCAGGATGTAGGAAGTTATAGCTTTAGAGAACAAAAAAAATTACTGGTCACTTAGTTTCTTGCAAAACCAAATTTTTTCAAAAAAAAAAAATTGATCAGCTCAGTTATTCTGATAGTTTTATGAGTTAATTACTACTTAAAAGGAGGTGGAAGGAGAAGAACGCTCTGATGACAACCGTCGGATGTCGCAACCAGCGGATTGCACTGTTGAGCAACAAAATGACTACTCGAGTAACTTTCGAAAGAGCTGGCAAATGAGTAGTTACTAGGAGTAAATACTTGTTAGAGAGATATGATACAGGATACATGAAACTTGCGTAGCCGTGTCTGAAAGTGCATTCGAACAACTCAAGTAGCATTGGATTGTCGTACTACCCAGTCAGAAAACAGAATTCCCCTCCTGGGAGTGCTCGGCAAAATTTTGTGACTTCAGGAGGAAATGGAGCAAATATTCGTCATATCATTCAGCAACTTGCATTTGTTTCTTGTTGATTTAGGAGTGGTATGTTTAGGTTGCATCAGAAAATGCTCACAATCATAGGC